AAAAAAGGCAGTTCGACGGAGAATTACATTCTCCATTAATGAACCCTCTTTCATCTCTTAATCTTTGTAACAAAAAAATTAAAATAGCCATGAAAGTCAAGGGCCAGTAAGAAAAATAATTGTTTTGCGGCGCACAGTGACTCCCGGTAATTAAAAATTCCCCTCTCCCTTCCTAATTGAGATTAAGGGATGAAAAAAGGCAGTTCGACGGAGAATTACATTCTCCATTAATGAACCCTCTTTCATCTCTTAATCTTTGTAACAAAAAAATTAAAATCGCCATGAAAGTCAGGGGCCAGTAGGAAAAATAATTGTTTTGCGGCGCACACTGACTATTCACCATTCGCCCGGTAATTAAAAATTCACCTCTCCCTTCCTAATTGAGATTAAGGGATGAAAAAAGGGCAGTTCGACGGAGAATTAAATTTTTCATCAATTAACCCTCTTTCATCCCTTCATCGTTGTAACAAAAAATTAAAAACTGCCATGAAAGTCAGGGGCCAGTAAGAACAATAATTTTTTCGCGGCGCACACTGACTTTTCACCATTCGCCCGGTAATTAAAAATTCACCTCTCCCTTCCTAATTGAGATTAAGGGATGAAAAAAGAGCAGTTCGACGGAGAATTAAATTTTTCATTAATTAACCCTCTTTCATCCCTTAATCTTTGTAACAAAAAATTAAAAACTGCCATGAAAGTCACGGGCCAGTAGGAAAAATAATTGTTTTGCGGCGCACACTGACTATTCACCATTCGCCCGGTAATTAAAAATTCCCCTCTCCCTTCCTAATTGAGATTAAGGAATGAATAAAGGGCAGTTCGACGGAGAATTACATTCTCCATTAATTAACCCTCTTTCATCCCTTCATCGTTGTAACAAAAAATTAAAAACTGCCATGAAAGTCAGGGGCCAGTAGGAAAAATAATTGTTTTGCGGCGCACACTGACTATTCACCATTCGCCCGGTAATTAAAAATTCCCCTCTCCCTTCCTAATTGAGATTAAGGGATGAAAAAAGGGCAGTTCGACGGAGAATTAACTTTTTTATCAATTAATCCGCTTTCATCTCTTCATCTTTGTAACAAAAAATTAAAAACTGCCATGAAAGTCAGGGGCCAGTAAGAAAAATAATTGTTTTGCGGCGCACAGTGTCTCCCGGTAATTAAAAATTCACCTCTCCCTTCCTAATTGAGATTAAGGGATGAAAAAAGAGCAGTTCGACGGAGAATTAAATTTTTCATTAATTAACCCTCTTTCATCCCTTAATCTTTGTAACAAAAAATTAAAAACTGCCATGAAAGTCAGGGGCCAGTAAGAAAAATAATTGTTTTGCGGCGCACAGTGACTCCCGGTAATTAAAAATTCACCTCTCCCTTCCTAATTGAGATTAAGGGATGAAAAAAGAGCAGTTCGACGGAGAATTAAATTTTTCATTAATTAACCCTCTTTCATCCCTTAATCTTTGTAACAAAAAATTAAAAACTGCCATGAAAGTCAGGGGCCAGTAAGAAAAATAATTTTTTCGCGGCGCACACTGACTTTTCACCATTCGCCCGGTAATTAAAAATTCACCTCTCCCTTCCTAATTGAGATTAAGGGATGAAAAAAGAGCAGTTCGACGGAGAATTAAATTTTTCATTAATTAACCCTCTTTCATCCCTTAATCTTTGTAACAAAAAATTAAAAACTGCCATGAAAGTCAGGGGCCAGTAAGAAAAATAATTTTTTCGCGGCGCACACTGACTTTTCACCATTCGCCCGGTAATTAAAAATTCACCTCTCCCTTCCTAATTGAGATTAAGGGATGAAAAAAGAGCAGTTCGACGGAGAATTAAATTTTTCATTAATTAACCCTCTTTCATCCCTTAATCTTTGTAACAAAAAATTAAAAACTGCCATGAAAGTCAGGGGCCAGTAAGAAAAATAATTGTTTTGCGGCGCACAGTGACTCCCGGTAATTAAAAATTCACCTCTCCCTTCCTAATTGAGATTAAGGGATGAAAAAAGAGCAGTTCGACGGAGAATTAAATTTTTCATTAATTAACCCTCTTTCATCCCTTAATCTTTGTAACAAAAAATTAAAAACTGCCATGAAAGTCAGGGGCCAGTAAGAAAAATAATTGTTTTGCGGCGCACAGTGACTCCCGGTAATTAAAAATTCACCTCTCCCTTCCTAATTGAGATTAAGGGATGAAAAAAGAGCAGTTCGACGGAGAATTAAATTTTTCATTAATTAACCCTCTTTCATCCCTTAATCTTTGTAACAAAAAATTAAAAACTGCCATGAAAGTCAGGGGCCAGTAAGAAAAATAATTGTTTTGCGGCGCACAGTGACTCCCGGTAATTAAAAATTCACCTCTCCCTTCCTAATTGAGATTAAGGGATGAAAAAAGAGCAGTTCGACGGAGAATTAAATTTTTCATTAATTAACCCTCTTTCATCCCTTAATCTTTGTAACAAAAAATTAAAAACTGCCATGAAAGTCAGGGGCCAGTAAGAAAAATAATTGTTTTGCGGCGCACAGTGACTCCCGGTAATTAAAAATTCACCTCTCCCTTCCTAATTGAGATTAAGGGATGAAAAAAGAGCAGTTCGACGGAGAATTAAATTTTTCATTAATTAACCCTCTTTCATCCCTTAATCTTTGTAACAAAAAATTAAAAACTGCCATGAAAGTCAGGGGCCAGTAAGAAAAATAATTGTTTTGCGGCGCACAGTGACTCCCGGTAATTAAAAATTCACCTCTCCCTTCCTAATTGAGATTAAGGGATGAAAAAAGAGCAGTTCGACGGAGAATTAAATTTTTCATTAATTAACCCTCTTTCATCCCTTAATCTTTGTAACAAAAAATTAAAAACTGCCATGAAAGTCAGGGGCCAGTAAGAAAAATAATTTTTTCGCGGCGCACACTGACTTTTCACCATTCGCCCGGTAATTAAAAATTCACCTCTCCCTTCCTAATTGAGATTAAGGGATGAAAAAAGAGCAGTTCGACGGAGAATTAAATTTTTCATTAATTAACCCTCTTTCATCCCTTAATCTTTGTAACAAAAAATTAAAAACTGCCATGAAAGTCAGGGGCCAGTAAGAAAAATAATTGTTTTGCGGCGCACAGTGACTCCCGGTAATTAAAAATTCACCTCTCCCTTCCTAATTGAGATTAAGGGATGA